TCTACGGAGAAAAGAGCCATAATCACTCCAACCGCCAACCCGGAGGGCCAGGAGACTGCGTTTGTCTGGCTTCTAATAACCATTGACTAATCTGCAATGAGTGGCTCTGAGGGTGCAAAGAAAAGCACCACCCAGCATAGCTCAATGGACCAATGATGTACGCAAACCATCGCAGCACGTTAAGGTCACCAGTCTCGTTGCGATGCAATGAGAAATCGTCGACATCATAGCAGTTTGACACGTTCGGTGACAGCAAGCAGCAGGTTGTCGAATACTGAATACTGGTTAGAAGCAGCGAGTAGAGCTTGCTCTGTGCAGCTGCATCAGTCGTCACGCATGTACAAATACCCGTTATATTGTGTTCCGCTCGATATATTTGCGTCGGTAAAGTGTTTGTCCAGGAAATTCTTAAATTCCGACACTGAGTTTGCCTCTACTACGTTCTGGGGCAGGTCGTTCCATACATTCACCACTCTGCGTTCGAAACAGAGTTGGTGAGCGACCCGTTTCAAATCCGGTACGACAAACTTATACCGGTGTCCTCGTGTGCTGCTTGGTGCGCGCAGATGAAGCAGCGGTCTCAACATAGGGTAATCACCCAGACGTAATATCCGGTGCATCACGATGGGGTCAACCAGCATTCGACGATAAGCTAGGGTGTACAACCGTAATATCTTACACCGGTCTTCGTACGGCACACCACATAAGTTGGGAATCAGCCTGGTAGCTACATGCTGCACTCGCTCAAGCTTTTCTACCTCGCCCTGGGTGATAGGAAAATACGCCATACGCCATACTCTAGCATTGGTCGTATTAATGAGACGAAGAGGCGAGTGGCAATCTCTTCGGACCAAGTGCTGAAGCTGCGCCTGAGCGTCCAAAGCATACGAAGGCTATTTTGGTAAATCCTATTTGTATTGTCTATGGACTTTCGGTCGCAGTGTGAGAGTACACCGAGGTCGCGCACAAAAGGCGCGGGATGTAACGGTTGACCAGCCACCATGTATGCTCGACTGTGCTCACACTTACCCAGCCTCATGAATTGCGGCTTGACCGGAAGGTTGACCACTGCAGACCACGTTGAGAGGCGGTCGAGGTCCTGATGAAGCAAATCACAATCATTGGGTGTTCGGATTACTCTCTACACCTTCAAGTTATCTGCGAACAACGCACAAGGTGATTGGAGTATCTGAGACACATCATTTACATGGATCAGAAACAAAATCGGCCCCAGTACAGTGCCTTGGGGCACGCCGCTGCTAGATGGATACCAGTCGGTTAAATGGTTGTCAACCTTGACCCTCCACTTTCGATCAACAAAGAAATTCCTGATCCACTGGTATAGTGAACCACCAACACTGCACATCCTCAGCCTGTAGAGGAGCACTGCATGAGTTAGTTTGCCAAAAGCCTTACTGAAGTCAATTATGCGTGTCGGTTGGTTGATGTGCTGTGTGGCCCCGGTTTCAAATGTCAACTCCGTAAACTTCCTCTCGACTTCACAGTGGCCGGGGAGAAGTTCAGCCTCAGGCCACTGTATTCGGGTAAGTTCAAATCGCCCATGAGTAGGAACACCTGACGACTCATATGGTTGCGGACCTGCGGCAACCAGTCCAAACTGCGGCTCAGTGGACTGCGATATAACACACCCACGAGCAACTCGCAGCGTCAGAGGTGGATCGACCAAACTGTGAGATCGTGCAGAATACGTTGTGGTCTGAATAAAGAAAAAATGTTCAATTATACGATATTCAAAACAATGTCATGTGCATATTTCAGTTACGTCGCGCTCTCTAGGACTGGTATGGAGCCGACGTAAGTGGAAAATAGAATCAGTGAGATAATAGCTCTCTGAGAAACATCGATATTTGTGGTAAGCGGAGAGGAGCTTTCACATTCAAGTCGGGTAACTTGAGTATGAAAGAACGATATACACCAACACCGAGTAGATCTCGCAAGAGCATTTCGCGGCTTACGTAGTCGAAGGTGTTACTGTTGTCAAGAGACAACATTCGGATGTATTTGGTTCTATTGTCTAGCGAAGATAGAATCGAATTCACAAAGCAGAGCACTGCGTCTTGGGTCGATCTCGAACTGCGATAGAGAAGTTGAAGAAAACCGTTTGATCGCGTCTGTTACTCTCTTATATATATGGTTGGCAGCATCCGGTTTCGGATTTGCCTGTCACTGTGGCCACCCACAGGATGTCTGCGCCTACAGAGGGACCATGGATGGCTTGCGATGCACCACCCACAGCTCCAACCACACACCACATATCCAGTGTAAACCCGAAGGAATAAGACCGGGAGGCATGTGATTGGGAACCACGTCTCATCAACGGCAAACACAAGCACGCTGTATTTGGGGAATCAAGCGCACACAAGGCGGTGGCTGGACCGCACTCCGCTCCACACTGAGTGCATGGAACCACTCTTCGAGCCTAGCACGGCCACAACGACCGTGCATCCCGTCCCCTCCAGCAACTACCAACTGTCTCCTGGAGCCAGTATGGACGAGGTAGTGGGTAATAGACAGGTAGACACCTTGACAAAATGCACATCAAGCGCAGCCACAACGGGGATATCAAGCAACAGCCAATCACTTGAAACGACAAAATGAAATGAAATAAATCCAATAATGCATACAGATACGGTGGTATAATTCTTCGCTAGATTAGCATATGAAGTAAGCTGGTTAGCAACAAATCCGCGATAAGCAAAAAATGTCCACAATTTACTTAGAAATGCTACAAACGCAACAAAGTTACCGAAGATAAGCCTAATTAGCGTAAGCAACGTGGCCAGTTAACAGAAGATTATTCAGGTAGGCAGAACAAATAAAATAAAGTGGAATGAAATTTATGCAGCTTAAAAAGACCTAGTCTAAGTGTAAGTTGGTTTAGCCTAACTGCGGTAAGAAGCATCATGAATGCAACATCAGCCTCAGCATGGGCACACTCTCTTGTATATACATGCATATATATCGAAAGGTTGAGAATTTATCCCAAAATTACGGAACAGATCAGTATGTTCAGGAATGATCATGCTCTTGCATGAGTGCATGTTGACCCCAATTTTTAGCCCACTAGATATTTTTTCGGACCATCCTGGATTTTTTCTCGAGTTGTCGGATGAGAACATGGATGATAACACTGCTAGATCTAAGAATTTGCCGAGTTTGGTGTAGAATGACGAGGGGTTTTCACATGTCCCGGTTGCGGTTGGTATGCTGTTCCATAGGACGGTATCTAATGAGGAAAAAGTTGGACCCTTGGCACCCGTAGCGTAAATTTTTGTTCTCAAAAATGATCTTTTCGAAAAATTCTAAGCCTATTGAAGTATTGGGATACTACTGGCACTAATATATGAGGAATCAATTTCTTGTTGTTGCATGCAGAAGGTCGGTAAGGTAGCTAGAGGCAGGAGCGAAAGGTTGTAACACTGACCGGTGATTAGTAAAAGAAGTCGCCGCGCAGTACGATGGTTTTCCGCTTGATACTAGAGTACTAATGAAGACGGCAACAAGACAGGTTTTTAGCGACGTGGTTGCCATAACCGCCTGTCTGCTCGATTGATGTCTCATGGTTGACAGTACATAATATTGAAAGTTTAAGTAGGCGAGAAAGCTTATAATTGGGTTACATTCGAGCGGGTAAAGTACATCGGATAATTTTGAAGAAAATAATGACAGCGAAAGGTGAGCTTCGATTGAAAAAATAGGCGAAACGGTAACAATAGGGGATAAAATTGAGCCGCTTATTAGCAAAGGGGAAAGCCATGGGGGCCCTTCAACTCCTGCATAACTATGCTCAGCAACAATAAGAATGAGAGCAGCACGGACTACGACCATTGCCGGGCGATCGAGAACAATTAATGAAATAACAGCGCTTGTTCGAAATGAGCGTTCAGAACTTCGGTGTACTTTGTCTGTTATTTTCCCTTTTACTATGATGTCAGGATGCAATACGTGAAGCATTTTCATTTCAATGTAAGGAATAATGACAAAAACCCAAACTGCTGCGGTCTGTTTGTGGCGTCTCTGCATGGGAAAGATGACCAGTGGATATTTGAGGCCATGTGGATAGAAGAATCCGACCATTGACACAGTGGCAATTTGCATCGACGACCAGTCTCACAACATATGTTCGTGCAAATCAGGTAGCAGAAGGATTGATCAGATATCAGAAAATTGTACCGATTAGAGATTATGAGGAAAAGAGCTCAGGAGAGCGAGCGGATGAGTGAGATGTGCGCTGACAAAACATGTGAGAATTTTTGAGCAATTCAGACTTTAATCCACGCACTTCATATGTTTGAACTTACTTGAAATACTGGTAGCTCGGGAAGTTTTTTCAGTTGTTGTGGTGTTCCCCGAGCTAGGTAACTTGACTGCAGGCATTGCATCGCCATTCGAGGCGACATCGTCAGTGAAGGAGTGATAGCAGTCAGGTGGCAGGAGCTGGTGGAAGTCAAACCTATCACGAATACAACAACAAGCGAACACCCCACGTGTGTGTACGTCTGTTGATAGTCTAAATAGGCATCACCAGTACGTTGGTACGTCACACCGACGCTTCGCTAAAACAATACCACCGTCGGCTGCAAGCGGGCTAAGAAAACTACGAGGTCGCAAGCATTCAAGCAGGTGAGAACCTGTGACCTGTGGATCACAAGTCCAAAGCCTTAGACCAGTCGGCCACCGGCCGGGGTCGCAATTGACGTGGCGTTAAACTCGACAGGGAATAGCGTGCTGGCGCTGGGGTGCTCAAGAATAACAGGAATTCGACAAGGGTTGCCTACATGTACGAAGATGGATAAATTACGGTTCGGGTTTAATAACGAGGACAAAGACCAAGTGAACGTGGCTAAAAAATGAAATACAGTTTCGTCAACAGAGGTTCTCAGAGAACAGACCAAGTAAACACGAGGTGCATCAAAGAACGCGTGACATGGGTGAAAACGATAGCGAATTAATCAGATGAATGAAGACACTACACTCACCAAACCGCGCGGGTCCTGATTAATCCGATAGTGATAGACACGACCCAAGTGACGCACAGTGACAGATAATTGACCCGGGGCCGATTCCGATGCACGGACCAAGAAGGAACCAGTAATACCAACACGAAGTAGTTGTTCACCGGCTTGCCTCGATACTGCGCCATGATACCATGGATACATTGAAAGAGTGGGACCATGTAGCCCGACTGGGGATATGTCGACCACGTTTGGCTGAGGGTTACATTGAGCAGAAGATTGGATTGCATTCGGGGAAACGTTTTCAGGGTGATGGAACGCGACTGGTGGGGGCATAGAGGAGGGCAAGGAGCAGTTGAATCGCATTGCCTCTGCTGAAACATTTCCTTGTGCATCCAGTATCGGACCGGTGATCAGAGGTAGAGGTCGTTGATGAGGATGATGGATAAACCGTGCAGAATGTGTTTCGGAGAATACGTTTGCAGGTGCCAAATAGCTTGTCGGAACCCAGCCCCGTCTGTAGCTAAAATCTGATCTCGAATGATTGGAATTTGCCCCAGTGAAGACAATGTTAGTTGAACTGGCATTCGTCGCTGTGCCAGAGTCCCTACTACAATTGTTGTCCGAAGTAGGTTGTGACGTAGGCTTGTACGCAGTGGTGTTACCATCAACATCGGAAGCCGCATGCAAGGCAGGGTGTGCCAGCCCAGATGTCTCAACTTCGGACCAATCTCCGGCAGGACTGTAACCGAGAAGTCGAACTAGCTCCCCTGAAGCATAAATAAACTATCTTACACTTTCCTTCAGTTTTTAAGTGTGTGAATGAAAAGTAATAGTGACAGTAATGGGTAACAATACAAATGAGATTAAAACGACAGCGTCAGTTTTAAAAGATGGAGCTACGGGGCCAAAAGAAAGGAGATTAGCCAGTATGAGAAGATAACAATACTTCACACAGATATGGCTTCGGTTTATGTTAGTCATCAAACAATGAATTGAACAGGGGTCTCCGGAGTTCATCAAATAATAAGAAGGACATATGAAGGGAGGAAATCGGCAAGAGCACGGTACATCTGGTGATGGATGACTTAGTCAAAAACTGCTATACTAGAACAGCGAGAGAGGGTGTGAGCAAGCGACTTTTAGAAATGGCCATTAGGTGCGAATAATAGCGAAAATAGTTTGTCGAGGACGAGAGACTCTTAGTTACGGGTGACCAGTCGAGCAATTGGGAAGCAAGTGAAATATCCCAAACAATATTCAAGTGACAGACCTAACTGCAGTTTGCTCCTGTAGTGATACTACAATGCGATACCCGCATCAATACAGAAGAGGATAAGCGGTTAGAAGGTCAGATAGTGCCAGCGCACCCTGGTCAACAATATCACCTTAAATTCAGGTCGGGAATGCTAAATGTAAGAGGAAAAGGGTGTTTGACTGAAACAGAGTTACACGAACAAAAATGGCACTCTGCGGTGGTATTAAACGAGCATCACCGGCACTGCCAGGCATGGGTCGGTGCGCCGTACCAAGGCTTCGCTGAGCACGCAACCACCACCAGGCGCGCGCTAGTTAAGATACTGCGGGGGTCGCCCAATTCCTTACGCAGACTCGAACCGATGATATCCGGGTTGCAAAGCAAACGCTTTGTCCAGTTGCCAATGGTCAAATATGACTAGGTTCTGTGCGTTCAAGTGTGTATTCGATCGACTGTTTTCTTTGAGAAAAAATGGCGAGATGATGTCCGAAACATGTGCACATTCTACGTGTACTGCATTCGAACACCAAGAGTCGCGCCAGGTGCTACAGTTCAGTACAGCTGAACAAAAATACGATGGGTCCAGCTGCCACGACACACACTGCCCAAATAACAATAAACAACAACGGTAGGTAAGTGAGGTTGAATGCGAACAGAATATGGAGAAAATGAAATTGGGATGGAAAAGCTAAAAGACCAGTCTGGATGGAAAGTTAACGGATAAACGCAAGCAACCGAAAGCAGGAACGCCACTGACTGAGCGATTGCTGCGCCAGGTGTGAAAGGGTCTCCAACCATTGGTGTGGACTATCCCGGCACCCCACCCATGAATACGGCATGCAGCAGCTTGACAGTCTATGGGTCAATTTCTCCATATCTTCATACCAGCTTCATATCACGTCATCGACTGGCCACCTTGCGGCTTCGCCCAACTTGGTTCAGCCACAGGGCGTATAATGCACACCGAGGACGTCGGTCAACGGACATACGGAGGGGAAATAGAACAATAATCTTATAAAGGTAAAAAAACTGAAGCTTAACAGATACCGTAGGATGATCATAGAGAAAATTCAAACCACAGAAAAAATCGTCCGTAGAAGTAGGTTCACACCGATGGACTCATTGCGGCATACTGAATACTGGTTAGAAGCAGCGAGTAGAGCTTGCTCTGTGTAGCTGCATCGGTCGTCACGCATGTACAAATACCCGTTATATTATGTTCCGCTCGATATATTTGCGTCGGTAAAGTGTTTGTCCAGGAAATTCTTAAATTCTGACACTGAGTTTGCCTCTACTACGTTCTGGGGCAGGTCGTTCCATACATTCACCACTCTGCGTTCGAAACAGAGACGATGATCGACCCGTTTCAAACCCGGTACGACAAGCTTATACTGGTGTCCTCGTGTGCTGCTTGGTTTGCGCAGATGAAGCAGTGGTCTCAACATAAAGTAATCACCCAGATGTAATATCCGGTGAGTCATGATGAGGTCAACCGTCAGTGGACGATAAGCTGGGTTGTACAGCCTTAGTTTCTTACATTAGTCTTCGTACGGCACACCACGTAAGTTGGGAATCAGCCTGGTGGTTACATGCTGCACTCACTCAATCTTTTCTACCTCACCACGGGTATGATAAACTGTAAATCCACTGTAAATCTATAAGGAGTGATGACAAATGGGACGTCAATAGAAACTGTGCCACCTCCGGGTGAAAAAGGTCGAACATATTCTGGGAACTGACCGTCAGTGAAACCTCGAACAGGGACTCCTTTTTCACCCTGGGCAATGAGTCATGTGAGGTGGCGCAGCGAAATGAGGTCTTTGAACTCTACCAGCATGGAAGCACAGATGACAGAGTCCGGTACGGCATTCCACGCTTCGCAAACATGTACGGAAAACAGATTCTGACGGCATCCCAAACGATGGTACTGCTCTGCCAGCTTGAAATGATGGCTTCTCAAAATACTGTTGTTACTGAGCTTTAGCAAATGGCGCCACGAGTGGTTGGGATCTCTCAAAATTGCGTAAATCAAAATAAAGCCCCCACGTAATCGCCGGTACGGTCCGCTGAAGACCCCGAATAATCGAAGCATACGTTCATACGGTACAAAGCTCTGGCATTCCTGGTTGCTAGGCGTTGGAGTATTCCTTAGGCGATAAGATCCCTCCGTAGCCTTTGCTGTTAGACCTGTATTGTGTATACCATTTGGACACATGTATGAGCCGAGAAGCTATTGAGAAATTGACGGGTGGAATCGTCCGAATGCACGTTGCAAGAGACGTACGCGTTGGATGCCTCCTCTTGACGCCAGTACACTCAGGTTCGAACATGCAAGATTGGCCTGGACCAAAAGGCCCATATCTCTGTCATCAGAAGATGTTCGGAGCTCCTAGTTACCGAGCTTGTAGAAGCACGCCAAGTAGTGCCGTGAGTGCAGCACTCTACATATGTCTAAATTAAACCGAAGTAGATTCTGGATTGACCACGCATAAAGTAGTGTAACATCAACCTGTGTATCGACAACCCTCCACATATGGATGTCGTCGGCATAGAGCAGAGAATTCGAGTTGGTGGGGCCTCATATCGTGGATATACGTCAAAAATAACAGTGGTCCCAGCACCGATCCTTGTGGTACTCCGCATCCAACTTGGATGAGATCTGATAGGGATTCGCGCACACTTATCTTCAAGCGCCGATGCAGAAGAAAGCTTCTGAAATATTAAAGGTTTGGAGAGCAGAATGTTATGGTTTAATCGATCGAATGCCTTTGAAAAATTGAGAAAAATTACATGCGCTTCTATGTCAATGTCTATTGCTTCGGTCCAGCTGCATAGTGCTAGCAGTAGATTTGCAGTGCATAATCGATTTCGTCGGAAGCCATGCTATTCTAGTGCAGGGTAGTTAAACTCTTCTAAGTAGCTTGTTAGTGTATCAGTAATAGTGGCCTCCATGACCTCTGAAAGTACCGGTAGTAGGATTACGGGAAGGTAGTGGGCCGGATCGGAACCACTGTCTCTCTTGCGAATAGGAGTAATCATCCCGTGTTTCTACATGTCGGGCACATATGACGTCAAAATAGTGTTGGGATAATCGACTTAAGCTCTCTCCTACTGCCGCACATGACTTGGGATGAATGCATCAAGTCCCGGAGAGCTGTGCTTACGCATGATCTAGCAAGCGTAAACAGGTAAGAATCAGCTAACACTCGATTGAGACACCAAGCTTCTTGCCAAAAACCAACTGGCTGACCTCAGCATTGCTTACCCGGCATTCCCACCAGCCGCCAAGGTGGCGTGTCTGATTTGTAACAATAAGGCCATCGGTTCGAATCTTCGATTGGTGGTAGTCGCGCGGCAGCGAAGCGCCATTACGGCGTACAGCTAACACATTACTTTTATATTTATTACCACCAGACGAGGGCAATACACAGTAAGCCCCGGTGGCGAAACACGGCAAATCGTTTAATGTCTTCACTGTGAACTGGTCAGGTCAATGATCCATACAGTAGCACTGGAATTACCGCAGCGTTACACACTCTCCCTTTCATTGACAGGTTGCTATCCCGCCGCCTCCATGGATGGTTGAGTCTCTGGAAAACTATGCGTACCTTGCTGATACGCGACATGACGCGGTAATCCTCCAAAAGTCAGAATGAACACTGAGCTGCCATTAAAAGCAATTTGACCAGAAGGCGACATATGTTTTATAGGGCAAACTACGCGCTTTGATCGATTCCGATTTGTTCTCTCCTGACTGGCGGCCGCTGGTGGAAACAGAATATTCATCGACCGAGCCTATTAGTCGTGCGGGCTCAAAAGGCGATTCTCGCTCACACATGTGGGCATTGCTGCTCGACTGGTGGTGATCGATCAGCTTTTAGACGGTCGGCCTATTATCGTTCAAATCGCCCGTTCGATAAGCAACCGACATGATCGACATGGCATCTTACCACCACACCAGAGGTGACACAAATAACAAGGTAAGTGAATCGATCCGTCACTTCCAGTGGCTGTTCGGTGATAGAACCGGAAAAGGGTCGGTCCAGTCCTGTAGCAGTGCTTCGCATATTGAAGGTGCGAAGCAGATGACGAAGCATGTAGCGCTACGCGCGAGTCTATCCAGCAGTGGCTATGCAACCACTGCTGGTTTGTCGGTCAGTCACCTAGTAACGCTTTCACTAAGGAAGAGGTTGAGAGAACTGTCATATAAGATCATTTCGAGCATACAGTTGAAAAAATGATATAAGACAATTCTGTTGAACTCCACTTGTCGTTGGGAACGCAGAATACAACTTTCCGTAGACTCTTGCCCGGCCACAGGAGGCCCCGCGAAGACTTCGGAATTGAAAGGAGTTTAGCGGGCATACACTTCGTGTATAGGCGGTGCCACAAACTGGTGCGATCAACTGAGTCGAAGACGGTTTTCAAGTCAAGGGAAACCACTATAGTCGGTCGTCTGCTGTGACACTTGGCGATGAGTAAATATGTACTCGATGCAATCATGATCAGGGC